TATCAATTTTCAAATTTTAACTTGATACTGTATGTTCTAATAAATCATACAAATTTCACCCCATTATAATAAACGCGATAAAACAACTTCATTCATATTATATATATTAAAGATTCTTATTGGGGAAGACTCGTTTCCCTGCAATCAGCTGATTGATGTCGTTAAACAGTTATTTCCTAAAATATCGCTTTATCGTGATAATTTTTCCAATAAAATTATTTCGCTTATCGTTTGTTTTCTTAAGCAAATGCAAGCAGACGCGAAAATAAATACACAAATATCTAAATTTGAATGTTGAATATCTATGCAAATATAAATAGAATGTGAATGTGAAATAAAACTCCATGGAACCGTTATACGTAAGAACATATTATATTGCTAAAGGTAACCATAAATAGATTTTTCGGCAACAAAATTGTCTAGAAAGTAAGAATATGTACTTGTCAACAAGCTCTACAGCTGAAGGATCGAAATATAACATCAATGCGGTCCATTCTTTCCTCTAACTTGGAATCACTGTATTTTCATTATCATCGGTGTTATGAATTCGATTGGTAGTCGCAATAGCTTCATAAAACTACCGTAAACAGCTTGTTTTACAGCGATCCATCAGCTTATTAATTCTTAACCGTCGAAGCATATATCGAACACGAACGTAATACGCGAGGATTTCGACGATGCGTCTCACCTATCGTTGATATATAAGTATCGTAGTAACGTTCGTCACAATAACGATGCACGATGCAAGTTTTTCCAACGTTCGAGTCACCTAGCACCAGAACCTTGTAAGTGGCTGCGAAATCAAGCGCCATGTTTGCTTTCGAACTGAACTGTTGTTGAGTTGACAAGAGAGTCGTCGGCCGGCGGTTGTTCTTTGGATACTTTGGGGGTGGAGGATCGATTCGAAGCCTGCGCTTTTCTTCGTGCCGTTAAGGCTGCTCTCACAATTGCAACATCACGTTGGTCATGCGCGACAACCTTTGACCCAAAGGAAAATGCGTACAATATTACGCTACAATTGAAAAAGATCTTTTCTCCCTGCATTTTCGCTGATCTATAATAACAATATGTGAATCTTAACAACCTAGATAAATTAATAATTACAGGAGCAATACTTTATATATACGTTTCCTGTGAAGGCTGACTACGCTATAGCGAAGCATATAGATTGTAAATATTAATTAACAATATGGCAATAACGAACGTATTGAGACTTACCGTAAGGAACTCTTACTTAAGAAACTATCTACACTCCTGTTCGTAAACGTTACGACACTCGCTGGTTTTCTAGGAAATGTAACGATCTAATCTTAAACTACCAAGGAAATGATTGAATGTAACGTAAGATTGCGATCCAATATACGTAGAAAACAGAAATTCGTTACAACTATTTAAAATTATCGTAACATAATATACGTTGACACGCACCTTCACGTCTCTAGTTTAATCTAAATCCTATTGAAAAAATGTAATATTAATTATTTCATTTAATTAGATAGGACACTGCAAGAAGTCTGATAAAAAGCTGAATCTGTACTGTGAAACTATCATCTGCAGTATACACAGGGTCAAATAGCCAAAAGTACGATAATAATATGAATATCAAAATTAATCGAAATAATCAAAGTACCAAAATATTGCAATTCTATATGATTTGAAAATTACAGGCAGATACTGATTTTATTATTGTCTATTGACTTTTAAGAACTAATAGTAGTCAGAATATTCCACTATATGTAGCTATGACAATTATAAAGAATAAAATCATTACAGTTGTAATTAAAAATTACAAAATACTTTTCAGCGTTAATGTATGTATCTACAATTCGATAATTCTACACATTACTGGATGTAATTAGTGGAATAAACAATTCATGTTAGTTTATGGTATAATTCTTTTTTGTACGAAAATGATGTTAAAATATTATTAAATAGGGGATGATGATTACAGAGTTCATCATTTTACATACGTTACATTTACTAATGAAAAATGAAAAGCATAATAACTAATACGTAATAAGTTATAAATCTGTTCGTCCGAATACGATATCGATTTGGACATAAAATCTTCCTGCAGTATAAAAATATGTTTTTAATTAATTAAATATATCAATTTATAAAGGTTGTTCGTATGAAACTCCAATTATACTGATTAAAATGTGCCAATGATATACGCCTTGGATTTAAAAATTTGTTTAAAGAAACAATATTGTAATTATTAAGATGCTTTTATTAGTTTTTAGTCCTTATAGAAAATACTTTGGTAGAAAATAATTAACCTATCATAATGTTTTTTATAGTCTTATTTATGTCTTTTTACTTGAAGTTAAATTTTAATAATATATATTAAATTAATAAATTTAAACGAATTTAAATGTATACGAGTGAAATGCTTCTACGGTTGAAATCATCTTTTTCATTTGAGGTATAAATCAAAAGTATTTTGAATCCTTCCGTTATTACGTTATCATGTTTATTCTGAAAATTACGAATAACAAAATCATGAAAACTTCAATCGTTAAAATAATTATTAATGGTATAAACTGCGAAAAGGGTCTCGTGTTTTTGTTTTAATAAAATACTATTTCGTAGATCGAAGTAAAAAAGATATAAATACAACAAACTTTCGTGTAAATTTTATTTTCTTTATACATGTTCCATCAACCACAATTTCAAATACGATATTACATTTCGTTCATAGTATTCCTAATATGTTTCGAATACAATATAAATGTTGGGTCGATCTAATTTTTACAAAAGGTACACAAGAATAAAATAAATTAGACTCTCGTTTAAAATTAATACAATAAATTAGCAACTATTAGAAATATAATTTCATATTATAGGCCGCATCATTAACAATGATATTACGAGATGTGATCACAAATGTTTGATATGACGAGAATAAATAAATACTAACAGGTAATTTCAGTAAGTACTTTCAGTAAGAGTTACTTTTAATCATTAAAAAATCAATTTGTTTCCTTAATTGTATAATACACGCAGAAATATAAAATTATCATTGTAGCAGATATCACTCAGGTTAGTTAGTATAAAGCATTGAACTAATGAATATTTAATTACTACTGAAACAAAGTCAAAGTTGTATATATTCAAAAACAGTTCTACTAAATTCTAGATAATACGATAATAAACGTTTATTGTGTACAATGTTATCATTATACAGAAATAAAATGAAATAAAAGTCTCTGAAGTAATTCAAATATTAATTTGTTTTTGAAATATGAAATATGCAACATACAAGCAGAGAGGATGGTACTGGACTAAATTAAGTTATACCTTTATAGTCCTGAAATATTTCTTCTTCTCTCTAATACAGTAGAACAATGAATAGTGCCAACTATTAAAAGTTTTTACTTTGAAATAAACTAATTCTTAAATTGGTTACTTCATTATTGGTTTCCGTAAAAGGTTCTTAAAGTCTTATACAATATCTATTATCACCTGTAGAATCAATTCGTATATTATAATAACATTAAGTCAATGAGATATTAACGAAAATAATTCGCATTGTATGTAGGCACTTTGTTGTGGCCTTGTTCCTTAACAAGAGCACTGCTCTTCAAAACTGCCAATAATTATATTATACATTCCTTGTTTCTTTTATAATTATTTTTATTTTTAAGAAACGTATCGCGAACGTTGTGTATGATATGTTCCTTTCGTTGATATAATTTATATGTATAATCTTGAATGTTCCTCGTTTGTTTAATCACGATATTTAAATAAATGTGCAAAAAAATTGCAAAGCTATAACAGTATTTCGTAATCACCTGGTATACACAATATACACAAACAATAATCACAAAAATATATCGATAAATATTTCGAAAACGAGAAAGTGATCTTATCCTTGCGTCTAAACTAAACTTCTATAACTATTCTGACTAATATATCTAAATTAAGAACACATTCGTTAATATCAAAAAGTAGGCAATTTTCAAATGGTAATGTATACTACTACTTACTTTGGAATTTATTCTGATCTAAATAATTCGTTATTAAATTGATTAATTATTATCGATATAGCAAGAAAAAGTAATTTTTGTGACAAAAAAATGTGCACAATTTCATCTTTAGACAACTATCGTTGTTCGCTTATCGTTACAGCATACATTCCACTGATGTCAAAGATTAATAGTTAATCAATATCATTAATTAACTATTAATTATTATCGAAAAAGAATAACTATAAATATATTTATTTCAATGCTAAAAAGATATAAGTGATTAATCATAATTTCTCTACTTACATGTACTACTTTTTTGTTAATACCTAAAATATATTTTGTTTTAGTAGATAAGATAAATAATTTGCTATTTTGCAAACGTAAAAGACACAAACAACCTAAAAGGATAGCCTTCCTATTGTAAGCAACTTGTACTTTGTAGGCATTTTCAACTATATATATATACATATATAATATATTAAGAATATATAAAATGAAATAGAACACAGAAAGATAAAAGCTCTTCAAATGTGTAACATTGTTTAAGTAATAATGGAAACCACTCTGTAATGGAATCTATTAAACTAAATTGACTAATTTGTAATTGTAAGTAAATATTCTTTCAGCAAAAGTATCAGCACCACAAAAGGTATTATAAAGGTTTATAAATACAGGATGTATAAGAAAGTTGGAGAAAACTTTAAGAGTATGTATATAGTACTCATCAAAACAAGTAAAAAAGTCTTACTAAACATGGATCCAAAAACCATTAGTTCTGGTATTATGAGATGTTTAGTGTATAATAGTACAGTTTTATAATAAACCAATGTAAGGGATAAGAAAAATGTCAGTAATTGATGTGATAGGAAAAAATGTGCCCAAGTGTGTGTGTGTTTGCATATGTAAATAAACAGGTGGCATATTGAACATATGCTGTAGAGTTAATATCTTATTGGCAAAAACATCTCGTAATTCCAAAACTAATAGTTTTTGAACCTACATTTATTAAAACCTTTTTGCTTATTTTGATGAGTGCTATATGCTCCTGAAGTTTTTCCCCAAACCTTTTGCACTTCCTGTATATGTGTACATATATATTTTTTCAATAATATTCATTTATAGATATACATCTTTCAAAACTTGGTATAAGAAAATAAGTTAAATTAAACGATCATTTCATCTTTAAGACACTATTTTTAGGCATTATAATGACTGAATTACAATATGGCACAAATGCATAATCCTATACATATCATTCCCAACATATAAGCTAGATCTCTTTTGATACTAGGATCTCGTTTGGCAGAACCAGGAAGATTATAAATATGTTTCCACTTAACTGTCCATAATGGAATAGCAACATGAAGAATATCTGGGATCATAAATCCAAGATCACGTACAACCTATTACATAAAAAATTACTAACTAAACATTATAATTTGTATATACATATTATGTATTGCATATTGTACACATATACATATTCATTCATATATAAATGAATTGATGCAAATGATTGTAATATGTTACATTATAAATTGCATATAGTTATTATGATTATGACACATGATTCCTTAAATACTATTACCTGATGTGCATGTCCTTCTCCTCTGAAAACATTGGCAACAAATTGATCCCAACCACCTGCTAAAATATGTAAAATAGCTATTGCAGCTATACCAAATGCTTTTCTATGAGTTACTGGATTTTTATTATCTGCCAGATGAACAACCAGGAAAGTAGAAATCAGTTCAGTGACAGAGAAAAACAATTGATGGTACCATTGGGAATAGAACTCATCATTCCAATAATTCATATAAACCCACCAAGTATAGTAATGTGAGAAAATAGCAGTTAAAAAAAGGATCATCATAGAAAGTCTAAGGCGATTATGAAAAGCTAGCCATGTTAAATGTTTCACTACTTCATAGAAAGTAATAATTCCAATTACAATCGTAATCCATATTTTTAAAGTATTCGATGTGGCATTAAAATACATATGTTTATAAGAGGCAATGCCAGACTCATATGATCCTGCAATAATATATCAATAGTTTTTGAAAACTAATTGAATGTAGTTCTATAACTAGTCACATAAAATATATAAACAAGATTAACTTACCCTTAAATACTGTGTCCCAACATGAACAAGAACAATACTGTTTGTCTACGTCTCTTGAATATTCTTGCCAAAAGTAGTACAAAAATGCAATATGCAATGGTGGGATTGTTAATGGTGCTAGTATTCCTAATGTTTTAGAACTGCACGATGCAAAATTTGCATACAGCATACGTTTTAATATCTTTGTAAAACCCATATGTACAAACTTTTATTCACATTGAAACTCACTTATGTTAAAAGAACATACTTAGCAATCATTTCATAATCGGTTTTTTATTAAATAATTTTTACTTATAATTCGTATTAAGTGAATAAATTATATAACATCTGCATTGTACACAGTATTTTAAAATTATTGTGAAGTGAGATAATGTAAAAACCTTGGCAATAATTCTTTGGTACATATAGAAATAAAATAAACTTATATCTTGATCTCTCACTATTTATTTTAATGTATTTCATTAATAAGATTCTGCTCAAAAACGTATTACAAATCTTTTAATCTTTCGGCTTTTCTAAATTTCTTAATGATTGACCCAATTATAAGTCATAATTCTATAAATATCCTCTGCATTATTTATAGATCATGCTAGTATAACATTGCAATTACTTTCACTTATGTCCTTTAATCTCTTTTATAAAACTAGTAGCAAGTAACCGATTGTTTACAATAATACTGTTAATTTCAATAACAATCTTGTCTTGCATTTAGTAATGAAGTAATTACATAAATTAGAGTAATATATTTTGTTTCATAATCAGTCTTGTCGGTGCTCATTCATGTAAATCACATAGAATTCGAATCTATCACTTTCTTATGTTTTTAAGTAAAATATCATAAAAATTAATTTTTGATTGGATCCTTGTAGCATTGTAAATGTCACATACAATATTTAATAAAATTCTACTTTTATATTAACATGACACCACGTAAAAATATTGAAATTGGCACAAATGTGTTAAATGAGAACTACAAAATAATGTTTCCATTCTTACTGTCTATCGGTTTTATTAGACGAAGGGCTTTGCCCCCTCTGAAGATTTCTCGCGCATGCGCAGATCCTGTTTCCATGCGAGAAACCACGTGTAAATATCTTTTGTAGGCTCGAATTGTTCCGATTTAAACAAAAATAATAAGTGCATATTACAGGCTGCTAACCCAATTAAATAAAGATGAAACGTGCTGTAAAAGTTTATTAAGTTTAAATTGTGTAAAACATAATGTGTGTAATTCTGTATCGTTTTAAATACTACACAAAAGCTTCTCGTTTAAAGTTTGCTTTAACTTTGTCAAAGTATTTGTTAAAATTGTAATAAATATGAATGTGCCATGATACTGATATTGAAGTTAACAAAAATGGAGAAAAATGGTAAGTATATGAATATTGGCTTATGTGATTTGTACTTGCATAAGAGTTATCTTTCATTGTATAATAGCTTTGCCCAATATTAAATGAATCTATTCTTGTTTGAAAAATTTGAAATATAAGATATAGCCAATGAAAGTTTGTTATATTTAATCAAAAAATTATAAAATATTAGAAGAATGATCTCTTAGTATTTACTCTTTAGAAAGTATTCCTATTGAAAATTATTACATATTCTCTTTTTATTGTTACTTGTAATACATACATATGTAGGCGTAATACATACATATGTTATTAATAATTACATTAATGAAAACAAATGTATCATTTTGGTTATTATTTTTATTAAAAGCAGTTAATTAATTAATTTAATAATAGCAGTTAATTTCATATATTTATTTAATAATAAGACAAATATATTTTAAGCATTGCCAAAGAGAATAAAAACTGAAACTATAGAATAACCGAACGAAAGTATTTTACAAACAAGATTATACTTTGCGTAGAATAAGAAATGATCACAAGTTTGTTCATTCGTAAATAGACTTAACGATTTCTTGTTTTTGCGATTACTGCCCGAAATTTTTCATAAATCATTCCAAAATTTGCTAGATAAGTCATAATGATGTTACATTAATTAATGCACAAAATATACGTTCTAAATAAATTTAAAAACGTTCATCTAAATAAATGTATTAATGTTAGTGAATCGCACTCTTATTAAGAAGATAAAAAATTGAAAAAAGGGAATAAATGACTATCAAAGATTTAAGCGTTAACCAATTTCGGGACAAGATATGACATCACAATATAGCAATGGAAATATAACTTATAAATTCTATCCTTGAGTATTATTATAGATATAATATCAACATCGGCAGATATCAATTTCCAAAATTAAATCTAATAAATATCGTTCTATATTTACTATATTTACTGCAACGTTTATCTTTTTATAGAGTATAATATTTTTGTATGAAGTATATATAAAAAAATACATTGTACATATGGTGGAAGTGTCTGAATATTTCGTTGAGATTCTAGAGTTTTTAGGATAAATTTAACAGTTTCTCACATATGTTTTATATCAATGGCAGATTCCTCAGTAGTAAGTGGTACAGTCTTATTTGTAGGGATGATCGAGCGGATGACTATTACGGGAGGTTGAAGTATTGTTTTGTTGCTAGGTAAAAAGAGACATTCTCTCATACTCGTTGTTCCGTTCATCTGCGCTCGCTGGTCCATATGGAAAACCGATCTACCAGATTGATATACACTGTACATGTATTTATCCACAGAAGCAAGATTTTGGTGATTTTTTACTCTTTTTATTGGTTTTTTCTTCTTTCCATTTGGCGTAATTCGTCTATTTAGGTTATCGATAAATTGTATTGCAAGTTTATGAGTCACAGTACCTACACTTGATAATATGTAATTAATAATTGATTTGAGAATACGAAGATGAAAATAGAAAAGATTAAAAAATTCACATTTTTGTTTCAGATATATGAAGTTACAATTTAATTTGGAACTAGTTAAACGAATCATTTAACTATTATTATTTTGATAGTGTGTAACGTATACATATGTGTAGTGTACAGTCTTTTATTTTTTAATGGTGTGTAATACTTTCTGAAGTATTGTAGAAGTATAGAATTCTATACTCCATTGCGATTGTAGGATATCCTATTCTATATTATGGAATATCCTACTCTATATTTTATTTATAATTCCATACGTGCAAGAGTATGTATTTTTAATTCAAACCAGCACTATACCGAATCGGTAAAGTCGCATGCGATACGAAAATGGTATGGGTGATCAGATGATCTCCAAAACGTGAGGCTTGAGAAAGCATTAAATATCATGTCTATTTCTGTATCTCGTCTATGGTAATGGTTTAAATTGAAACTAAATTTTCCTGTGAAATTAAAAATAAGTTATCTGTGATATTTCCTGTGTTGGCTGTAGCAAATCGCAGAGGGCGTAGGAAATACTCAAATTTTTTCCAAACTGGTATTTCAGAACTGGGATACAAAGTCCCACTTAATGTCACGTCTATTCTGTTCTTAATTAATGATGTCAACACACCGACAAGGTAGTCGATGATGTCACAATGTCACATCCAATGGTTACGTCCATCGATCATGTCTGTCAGTCACATCTACAGAAGTCAATGGTCACGTCTACTTTATATATATCTCATCTGTGGTATAATCGTAGACGAATATAGGAAATATAGGAAATCTTATAGAATTTTATTCCACAGGAATTAATCATAGATAGTTTAAATTCTGAGTATAGATGGCATCATAATATTATTTTCTACTGTATCGGCAACCGTAGAAACGATACAAAGCTTTGCTGAGTATAATCATTGACTAACGTATCTCGTCTGTCGTACGATAATTTTATTTCATATCAAATGTGATTCATTTACACGAATATTATAAAAACTTTAAAACGTAAAAGGCGCAAAGCATTAAGAAGGCATTGTAATTGAAAGAAGAATGTAATAGTTACGAGTATCAAAGTTCAAAGATTTTAGAGTAGTTTATAACTTTTAAACGAGAAGTTGACATTTTCGACGATACTTCGTAAGAATAGAATTTGTCGTTAGCTGGATTTCTGCGGATACCATTTAAGAAATCAATCTCTGTAATGATTAGGAATACAAGGGTAGTGAGAGAAACAGTGAGAGAAACACGATACTACGTGAAAGTGCTTTATTCCTTTCGGAGATCGTTCATCGCAGACATCGGCGTCGGGAATGCCGCTCTCATTTTTCTTTTTTTCATATATGTGTACATATATGTATACATATACATACACACATGTACGGATGCATATGTGTACATATATATTATATCTTATGTACGTACGTATGTATGCATATATACATACATATATACTCTAATAAGCGATCCTAATTATCGAGTAAATTACCGTCTGATATTAAAAAATACGCATGTATATGTACATGTACAATTACAACACACGCCAGGACGGCAAGAATCCTGGTCCAGTGAGATCTTAATGATGATTTTAAAACGAAGGTTGAATGTACAGTATACACATTTACACTTATCGTTTCAGCAACAACAATTTTATTGTACGTAGATTGCAAAAATTAAATAAATAATGACAGTGGTACATCGCGTATTGGACGGAAAGGCCCAAAACACTGCGCAAAGGTGTGAGAGGAAATTATAGGTTTAAATTCGGTCGAGGTGCGATTGCTTCTTCATCTCTCTCTTGTTTTCTTTCTTCTCTCTCGTCTTATCATTTTTCACACACATTCTGTTTCTCATTCATTTCCTTTCTGTATTCATTTTTTCCTCATCTTTGCTTCTGATCGCACTAATGCACTTTATCTTTCCTCATATTTATTTTCACGCTCTCCTCTTCATATATTACCAATTTTATCACTCTCTCTCTCTCTCTCTCTCTCTCTCATTCGCCCCGCCTTTCACTCTTTCTGTTTCGTTCACTCTCTCTCTCTCTCTCTGTTGCTTTCTCTCACTTTCTCTCACTTTCTCTCTCTCTCTCTCTCTCTCTCTCTCTCTCTCTCTCTCTTTCGTTCGTTCGTTCGTTTTCTCAAGTAAATGCGGTCCACATTGCGAAAAACAGAAACGGAGAGAGTCAAGTCTCGAATATGAGAATATTCAATGAAAAAGGTCGGAAACAGATTTTTGCGATTTATAAAAAATCTATTTTGAGGCATGCCCGGTAATACCAGACAAATAGCGTCGTTATCCGTTTCTCTGTTCTCCTTTAAACACCATCCGTTAATTTTCATTTGAAATGCTCCTACGTAGTAATAATGGTTTGGTTTTATCTTTTTCATCTTGCTCTTTTCTTTATATTACAATAATTAACATCGTCACATACAGACTTATACACTAACGATATGACTACAGCTCCAAACCAGCAGAGCGTTCATCGATGGAGAAGTGAGAATTAATTTATTTACGCGTCTTTCTTTCTTTCTTTCGTTTTCCTCTCGCTAGCATTCGCTCCCACTTTCGTCCCTTCTCCGACTTTTCTTCCTTTTTATTTCCGGAGGGAAGGTTTCCTCTCTTTCATTCGTTTCCGATTGATAAAGTCGATATGCCAATTTATTTATAAAACGTTACAAAATTATTCGTGAGCGCAGCCGTGTGACCTTTCGATTCTACATATACGAAAGTCTCGCGTTCCTATAAATATATTCATAATCGCTGTTGCCTTGCTGCTGCGCAACGGACCAAGATTTTTCTATCGTAAACATCTCTCGTACCTCTGTCGAGCCTCCTATGATCTTTCCAACGCTCTCTCCAACTCCATCGCTCTCGCACATTCTCTCCACCTTTCTCTCTTCGTTCATCCCTCTGCCTTTGTTCGCGATTTTAACGTTACGAACGCCAGTCAACCCCTCATGCGAAAAGAAACGCTCCGTACGCGTACATCCGTTCAATTTTCTTCTCCTCCCGCGGAGGAACTTTGTCTCACTTTGTGCATCGCGTTTCCACGACCGGCCAACCCAACGAACCTATTCAGCGATATCAACGCGTATCGAGTAAGGCATAGGAAAGTTCGTCGGTGTTTTAGCGGATCCTCACGATATAGTGAATTTCCTTAATTTTAAATCGCAGCAACAAATGACCTGCAGATTTTTCTGCAGACTACAATTTCAAGATCAAA